GAAGATGATCCATCTGAGCATGGCAAATAAACACAACATCGTGCTTGGATCCCTGTTCTGGGCAGCTATAAGCATAGGGGCTTTCTGCAGATCAGGAGCTGCACTAAGCCACTGTAGAACTAAGCAGAAACACTGAGCTCATTTCTCTAGGCCCAGGAGACTTAGAGAGTCAAAGACTGAAGAAACTCAGTGTTGAGCAGAACTGTTCAATCCACGTGCCCAACCAACCCTGCCAGACAAGGCATCTTACCTACAGCATCTGCTCCCAGTGCCTGCAGCACACGGCACTCTGCAACGGTTTCATAGGAGGGACCAGCCAACTGGCAGTACACTCCTTCTCGGGTGAAGCTCACAAAGCCTAGCTCCTGAGCACTCTCCATTGCCAGGCCAAGCAGGTCTTGTTCATAAGCATCTGACATGCAGGGAAACCTCACTCCAAACCTGCAAGTCAGGAAAGGGCACAGCCATGAGATATTGCTACTGCTACCTTCCCTCCATCAGAGTTCAGAGATGCTCATCCTTTAGAGAAGAGGGAAATGTAAAGGGCAGACCTGCCACAGATGCGATCTCTCTCATTCCAGCCTCATCATTAGGTAATCCTGCCATCATGGCATTCCCGCTAGATCTAATTGCTCAAGACCCTCAGTGTGCAGGGGTTATGAGGGTTGGAAGGTCTGGCACTGCTTTCCTACTGCACCAACCCTGCTGGAATGGTCTTCCCAAAGATTTCCATCTCCAGGGAGCACTGATGGCTAGTTCTCTGTCCCCAGTAACTGCCCATGGTGACTTTTAAACCTTGTTCATCAGACAGTTGCTGCTCTTTGCTTCTCCTGCACAAGAGCTTGCAGACAGGGTTCCTGTGGCATCAAGGCCCAAAAAAAAAAAAAAAAAAAAAGCCTAGTGAGAGCATCATTCATCATATTTAGGCCTCCTGGCAGCAGGTAGCTTCTTAACCAGGCTTACAGCTAGGGATGCCCTGTACCACAGCAGCAAGGGCTGTCCTGTCCCCACACTGACATCCATATGCTTGAAACAAAGAACTGGATGCACTGGACAAATCAAATGAAATTTGAATCTTTCCCCTTTACTGTTTACATTAGACCAGTTTGAAGGGACTTCAAGGAAAGATTTTCTTTGGAAGATGAGCCAAGTTTCCTAGTCAGAAAATACATCCCAGGAAAAAGCATCCACTTCTGCATTTGGTTCCTGGTGTAGCAAAATCACGCCAAGCACAAGCTTGGACTCTTCTTTAGGATAGAAGTACAATTCAATTGCACACTTGAGATAATCATCCAGAGCATGCATCCACCCTGTAAGTCTCACATTGCACTTGTCAACCCCAGAGAACTTGTATAGGATACTCAGCAGAGTGTCAGATGGTTTTAGATATCTGTGTTTAGACAGCAGCATCCCATTTGGAGTGTCATCCCTTGTAGG